TCCTGCCTGCTCATCAGGATGTAAGCTCTCAGCTACTGCTATAGCACCAAGCCTGCCTGCCTGCCTACTACCACATCTCCACCATAATGATCATAGACTTACCTTCTGAAACTGCTCCCAATTAAATGCTTTCTTTTATAAGCTGCTGTGGTCATACTGTATTTTCACAGCAATAGAGCAGTAACTAAGACAACTTAGACAGAGGCAGAAGAAGTTAAAAACTATATGTGCATTAGGAGAAAACATGGATAAATTTCCTTAAAACCTGGAAAGAGAAAACGCTTTCCTAACTGAATAAAAATGTGGAAACAACACAGGGAAAGATTAGCAAACTTGGCAACAAACAAACAAAAAAAGAAAACCTTTCACGAAATAAAATCAACAACAGTATAAAAAGACAAGAGATGGGGCAGGCAAAACACCTGCAGCCCCTGCCAGAGTTAATGCCTGCAACATGAAGCTATGGTTTGGTTTTTGTGGTGCTGAAGACTGAACCGAGGGCTTTGTGCATGCTAGGCAAGCACTCTATCCCTGAGCTACACTACCAGCCCAGTGCCTGCAACATAGAAAAAGAAGCTGAGAACAGAGAAGAGACCACAGCCTCAAAGGAGACATGACCTCTTCCATGAGACTAGAAGAGACCTCACACAGGAAAGCAATGTTCCTCAAATGCACAGAACCTGCTCAGTCTTGCTCCAGGTCAGAGAAATTCACCTAACAGCTGAGCTGCTTGAGCCTAACAGGCAGCCACAGAACCTAGAGAGGTATGCACATCCCAGGTCTATCTTGAACTTTTTATCTCATCATCCAGGGATCTGTCCCTAAGACAGACATGTCACAGCCACACTGGGAACAACAGAAAAGTCCCCAGGAAGAGACAAGCCACTACAGCAGTGTGAGCTGCAGCTGAAAGGAGGAGGCCTGTATGGTAGCTGGGGTCTTCTGGGCACCTAAGCAAAATATTCAGAAAAGGGAAAAGAGGGGAAAATCTCTGTAGCTTGCTGATACTCAGCACACACTGTATCAAGGAAGGACGGACAAAACAGTGCTGAGATGGTACCTATAGCAGGGTATGCCCTGGGGGGGTGGCGAGGAGAATTCAATCTCTGTGGACCCACCCTTACACTTTGACTTCGAATCAAATAGTAGTTTACATGATCGATACAGAACAAAACCCAAACTAAAACCAAGGAATATTTGAAAACCAACATCCACAAATGTACCTATGTCACCAAATGCACAGCGTATAAAGTGACTTCAAATGGCTTACATGAAGTGACTGGAAGCCATGTGCCCCAAGAGAGCTAACTGCAAGGCAGCCTGCTAAGGACCTTGACAGAGATCCACGTGTCCTGAGCTCCCATACTGTTCATACACTACCTGGTCCCTGCACTTTTCTGGCTCACACCTGGGAGGAACTTCCTTAGGGGATTTTGCACTCACATGCTGAACTGGAAATGTCTAGAACTCCTACCCTAAGTGGTCCTCACGCCAAGGACTGGCTGGGATGGTCTCTTGCCATGATCTGCAAATGGATCAACTATGTCCCTGCTGACCTGGCTGAGCAGAGCCTTTCTCTGAAGTGGCAGCTTGGTTGGGTGTCGCTGACCACCCCCCCCCCCCACTCCCCGCAGTCCCTGTCTCTTACTAACTTCTACTGGGAGAGCATCCTTAATAGCCTGGCATGGTGGCACACACCTTTAATCCCAGCACCTGGGAGGCAGAGGCAGATGGATCTCTGTGAGTTCAAGGCCAGACTGGTCTACAGAGCAAGTTCCAAGACAGCCAGAGCTGCTACACAGAGAAACCCTGCCTTGAAAACCCAAAACAGAAGACTCACCTCACCGGCTTGAGTACCTTCTCTGGCGTGCTTCTGGGGATTGTCCTAGAGAATAGGTAGTGGCACTGGAATTCTGGGAAGAACCTGGATTCCTCCCAGTCCAGATAGCAACAAGGGCCTCAGGTGCTCCACCTGCAGGTTCTTGAGATGGTCACCTGTGCTGAGTCGGGACAAGATGGAATATGAGGAGGTGCTGCTGGCATATTTCCCTGGCCCATGGACACAGGTGGTATCTTGGCAATAAAACCCACAAGCCTCCCTATGGGGTTAAATATGCTACTATTTGTATTCAGGACAAGATGGTTCCAAGTGCAGGCCAGTGTCTAGGATCAAGAGGCCAGACTCAAGTCCAATCTAGAACTGAGAGCAAGTAGGACAAAGTATACATGCCTCAATGGGCCTCATTGAAATTCCTGGGCGGTTGGCTGAGGGGGTACAGCAGGGGGGACACAGGAGTTTGCTGACACAGCAAATGAACTCAGCACTGATCTGGTGTGCTGCGAACAGTGTCCCAGGAGAAATCCCAGAACTGCTTCATGGATGGTGAGGGGAGAGACCAAAGAACAGGGAAGAGAGCTTTTCTTCATCAGGTCTTGGAGGATGCTTTGCTCAAGAAAGCAGTGAAGAACACGAGGGGGTGAGCTGCCCTATATGGGATGGTCTTTGAAGAGGTATTGCTAAGATCAGGTTCTTCAAACAGCAGGGGACAGCAGGACTCTCAGCTAGCAAAGAAATGGCCAACCTCTGCCAGAGGCCCTGAATAAGCTCTAGGTCCAAAGGCATTTCAGGAGTGTGTCAAGCAGGATCTGTGGCAACTGGTCCTGGACCATATAATTTTCAAGGTCAAGTTGACAAGGACATGTACTCAGAACCAAGCATCAACTGGACAGCAGAGGTTGAGGCCACCCTTCTTAGTGGGAAGCTCTGAGTCTTACTCATTTGCAAGCCTCAGGCTGTCATGGAAGCATAGCTGAGGGAGAGGCAGGACTCCCTTGAGAAACATCCTTAGGTACCACAAGGCATTGGGTTTCCAGCCTCCCCAGAGCTGTGTATGTGTGTATGCATGGGGTGAGAATACCAGCTCAAGAGTGTCCGTGCAAAGACAGGCCATTGCTGACACTGGGATCATGTGGCACACCACTGTGCCCATGCCTGGCAGGACTTTATAGTTAGATGCTAGGTCTGCTTCTGTTTACCCCATAACAGAACCCTGATCATTTCCCATGACTTTGGATGCTCAGCAGCTGGTGTGTACCCATGGCCATTTGGCCTGTTCAATAGGAACTACTGCAGCTGACAGGCCACGCAGAACCCAAAACAGGTAAATCAAGTCCACATTGGGTCTAAAGTAAACAAGAGCCTAGGGTCCAGAGTCAAGATGTTGGAGTCCCTATATAGACCATAACTGAGAGCCTATAGTTGAAATGCTGAAGCCTGGCAATGTATGTGTCTTGCCATTTCAGTAGCTGCTCTGAAAATTTAACATGCTATCTCACACACTCATCTCCTCTGCTTTGCCTCTAGTGAATCCTGTCTTTCACATTACTATTGCCAGACATTAAATACTATGGCTTTGTGCAGTTTACACAGGGTGGTCTCTTTTGTTTTGTTTGTTTGTCCGTCCTTTGAGCTTCTCTGCAATCCTTGCATCTTGTCAGTGTTCTCCGTCACTGTCCTTTTGACATGCTGCCTCCCTCCCTAAACCCTGAGACTCCATGAAGGACCTGGTCTCCTCCACTGGTTTCTAATCTACTCACACAGTGCCTCCTCTGTGTGGCTCCATTTTCCAGCTCATTATTCAGTCTTGACCAACCTATATAAGTGAACTGGTCATGAAGAAGTTCACCCTAAGACTTGGTTTTTAACCTCTCAATATTCACCTCAGTTCTTGCCACTGTTGTGTGCTTTTAGTAGTCTGCTGATTTTTGCTTGCAATGGTTTCTGTCCTGTTTTTAAAACCTTAAAAAAACAAAGCAGCATCCATGCTTCAGCAGGGATTCAGAGGCATTGCTGCTTCTGCTAATCCCAGCTGATAGCTTGCTTCTTAGTGCTCCTAACTTTCCACTGCACTCGCGCATGTGGTCAGTGCTGGATGCTGGTAGGCCTGTATCAACCCCTTTCTCTAGAAGGAACACTCTTTTTATTTCTACGCACCCTGGACAGATTCTGGACTACATGACTGTGACCACAACCTAAGACAGCAGGAAGAAGCTAAATCATGAATTCCTGTTGTTCATCACTTGCCTTCTCCTCGTCCCTGTCAGGTCAGCTTTTACCTAGCTTGACCTGGGGATGAGGATCTTACTCTTCTAACATCCTAGCTTGACAACAGTCCCATTCTTGAGCCAAGGCCCTACACTGGCTGCAGGACTGCTATCAAACACCTCGCATCTGGGGCTGCAGACCTGTGTCCATCCACACATGCCCAGCACTGCCTCGTCTTGAAGAGAAGCAGCCAACAGAGGTCAAACCCTCTTGGCCTGCTCAAATCTAATGCAATTTTCACTCTACCCTGAGGGTGTCCCCCACTTCCTGATGAGCACTTAGGGAAGTGTCATTTGTCATAGAAAAGCTTTTAAGAATAAATGCCCCTTATCAGCATCATGTCCAGTGCTGAAACACAACTCCTGTCAGCTGTGTGGAGCACAGAATTAAGGGCTGAGGATCACACTTTGCAGAGTACTGCTTTCAGGATGAGGTGGGAGACCCCAGCCAATATAGCAGTAACGCTCACTACCCAGGGTGGCCTCCCCTGTGGTGCTCACTGCTAGGGTACCTTCTGCATCTACTTACCTACTTCAGAGTGCAGACAAAAGAGGTCGTACCAGCTGCTGCCTCAGCACCTTCTTGCCTAGCCCAGTGTGGAGAGGGGCAGGTAAGCTGGGTGCACCCTACTTGCCTTCAGAGTTTAAAGACAGCTTCAGAAGGATACCACATGGGGATCGATGACCATGTGGAAAGATACAATGGGCCCTCTGAGAAATGGTGAACACCCAGAATGGCCTGGAGAAGAAAAGTCAGAAGTATAATAAAGGCAGGAAGTGATACTTTCAGAGGAGTCAATAACACAGTCCCAGCACTGGCCTGCATCCCCCCCCCCC